GAAGCACTGAGTGACGATGAGCGAGCAGCGATGTTGAAAATTTTCGAGTTGTCATCATGGTGCCTACATGTGATACCGTCTGGTGCAACGCCTGGCAACACTTGCTTTGTTTTGCTTGGTTCATGCGGCGCGTTCGTCTAAATCCTGCATTCTCGTTGTGCCACTTTGGATGATTTATCGTGGAGTCGTGAGTGCAACTGTTATTTAAAGCTACATCATGAACAAGTAACATGCATGCATGTCTTACAAGCCACCGTGATCCAAGAGTGCGTCTGCAGCTGCCCCATGGCTGCTTGGTACGGCGTCGATTTCAGAACCACTGCTTAGAAGAGGATCGAACCGAAAATGATTTGCTATGCTTCAAATTGCTGTTATTCCATATTCTTCGGTGTTTTTATTGTCAATTGCGGACGCTGATGGCAACGACGACTACAATGGGGTGACGAAGACATGGCTATACACGTGTGCACCGAGCAGACGAAATGTCAAGCGAAACTCGCGTCACCATTTGGTGTGGCCACGTGATCAGATAAGGCGGCACCACGAGAAGTGACCGCTTGGCAGCAATGAAAGTTGATTGATAGAAATGTGGGGTTTAGCATCCCAAAACCACGATGTGATTACGAAAGAGGCCGTAGTGGAGGGCTCCGGAAATTTCAACCACCTGAGGTTCTTTATTTGTGCACGCAAATCTGAGCACATGGGCCCACAGCCTTCTCGCCTCCATCAAAAATGTACCCGCCACAGCTGGGATTTGATCCTGCGACCTGTGGTTCAGTAGCCAGCGCTAAAAATTGGCGGGCTTTGCCCCTATTTTGAATTGGGTTCGATACTGGTCATACTTATTGATATTACATATATTAATTCATCCCTCCATTGCAATATTACTACCGAATCGTTGCTAGGGTATAGATAGCTACACGTTGATGCAAAAAGCGCGACATGCGTCAAGTTGATGTCACTGCTTCTTACACAAAAAAAAAGACATGTTTCATATTCAATCTCCCCTTCTTACTCAACTGCCATCATGTACGGTTGTGGGCATGCATTTAAACTAATCAACTTGATGGACGCCTTCATATTTTAGGATTGACAGCTGTCAATGCCTTGGCAGAGATTATGACACAGAGTATGCAACATAGCAAACAACCCCAGTATTTTTTTTAAGTTTTTGTCAAAATCTAATCAAGTCAGCATTCGAAGAAAGACATGGAAGATGCTGTAAATGAAACAGCATTTCTGCCGCAGAAGTCTTCCCACAATGCAACTGCAAATATGAGCCTTATAACATTTCCACAATTTGTTCCCACTGGGGTATGGCTGCCACAGCCAGGCATCAAACCTGCAACCTTATGCTTAGCAAGAGCATGTCACTTCAAATCAGTCACTGACATTTTCATTTCAACAGTAATTAGGAGGCTACTCTATTTAAAACCACCTCTACACTGCTTTATAACCCAAAATGATTGTCAAAGTAAAATTTTAAATTTTGTAAGCAGCTGGAGGTTGGAAAAAAAAAAGCTGAAAAAAAAATGCGAGCACGACACATCCCGCCAATTTCGTACGTTGCTTTTAAGCAGTCATAAGCACGTTAATAATCACGTGCGCTAGTCTAACGTCAATACTCTTCTTTCTCAGAGATTCTTCATAGGGCAAAGACACAGCTTTCGTAGAACGAACAAAGCATGCACAAACTGAATGTATCATAAAGGTTAGCATCTTAGTCTTAACAAAGAGATAAACACAGAGGGAAATCAATCATACCCGAGGCACCGAATGATGACGTGAGGGGGATGAAAAACGCACCGACGTAGGACAACTGTGGTTATTGCTTTATTTTTATGTTTTTTTTAGAAGAGAGTTCTTTCAGCTTGAAGTGTTTCATAGACCTTTTATGCAGGTAAAACCTGCAAGTATATTTCTGTTACATGGACCTTTTATACAGGTAAAACCTGGAAGTTTATTTCTATAATTTGGATAGCTAATGCGAAGTTACTTAATCACATAAATGCATATTCAAATTGTCATCTTTATGCTCATAATCACAACAGCCTTATCTCGCTGACATTGACAATAGATGCATAGATGATCATGCTGATCATTTTCATCCATGCTTCCTTCTTAATGTGCATAACACAACTGTTAATGGTTGTAGAAAGACTTTAAGTTGTAAGTTGGCTTAGCTGTGAACCCTGCATCAAGAAAGCAAGGGCCGGCATATTTGTATTAGTGTGGGAATTGTGCCATGCAAGATTTCTAAGGCGAGGACGATGGACCCAGGTGAACTTAGGAAACACTCCTCATATCGGTAAGGCACATCATACAAGTGGAAACAAAACGAAAAGATCTCGGAGGTAAAGCCCCGATGTGATCAAGGGCACATATATGAGGAATTCTGCTGTAGCCAGGGTTTCGAGAAGCGATTCTATGAAGTTGCCTTTACCAAGGCCACCACATTAACAATTCCACTTCAAAAACATTGGCTCCAGTATTTCCCATTGCTGAAAAAGTCTCTATCAACCAAAATGGTGGGGTCATAGCTATAAAATAACACCTACCCTCATTCCTTGCTAACCAACCCTACGCATATGCTTTTCTACCATGCACAGAATGTAGATCTTTTTAATAGAGAGGAGGATCCTCTCGTTTCTGGGATGTGGCTATGGGAGCACAAAAGCCGACGTCATAGCCTCGGCAGTGCATTTCTGGGGGGTCCACACATGTTAAGAGCAGCCCAGAGAGGACTATGACGGCGCTCAGGGAGCCTACAGTAAAAATGTCAATACAAGATGCAACTGCTGCTTTACCAGCTGACTTACAAGGATACAAAAACTGGAAATTAATGTTTCATTCAATAGATAGCACTAGAAAAAAAATATATATTCAAGCGCAACTAATAAGACTACCCTTCCACATGCTATGAGCAAAACATCTTGCTCAACAGCCTCCTAAAATTCGTTCTCGTACTTTTGAACATAAGTCCAAGGTGGTACACTGATAAGAAGGCTGACTGGCCACTACAGGGCGTTATGCTTCATCCTGTCTTTTCTTTTTATAAGCAGCCACCCAAATTAGTAGTCTCCTGCATCTTTCAGATTCCATTCCACACATGCACTCTTCGGAACAAGCAGCTTTCTACAACAATTAAGCTGTGTTTAGGGCATCTAACATGTATGCTTAGAGCTCAGTGCATTGATAATCAGAAGCACTTTACGGAATTGAGACAGGCTGCTTTGACCACGTATTAAGGCACATGCCAGTCTATGAACCAGACTGCATAATTAGAGAAGAGCATTACAGTGCAGCCAACCTACAAATGTCATTGATGCTTATTTTATATGCTGAGTAACTTTTAGTATGTGCTCAGCTCTTACTTCTTAGCCATTTGTACCAATTTACACAAACGCCTACAGTTATGTCTCATAAAAAAAAATTTTGTTACCAGCCTTGGTTGCATTAGAGGACCCCCTGTATCACAAAAATTCCTAATTTCAACCAAATGTCCAGTTTTTGAGGCCTTTGAGGTATTATTCATTATTTATTAGATGGAACTCGTAGACCCTTACACTTTGATATCACTACGCCTTGCACATGCTTTACACATTACACATTCGACAGAATGTATCTGCAGATGCTCATATAGGCATGAAGGCTCTGCCTGTAGCGTTTGTAATGCCGTCCCTAAACCACTTTAAATGATAATTTGAAGAGTGATTTCAACATGCTATACATCAATGTTATGTAGCTTTATCTATTATTATTTGTGCCTTGAAAGGAAATAGTGCATAAATATTTGAATCATGTTTAAATAAAGCTTCAAAGAACCCCTGACACATGTAAAAAAAAAGCCCGTTAATAATGCAAACTAAAATGCACAGCATATCAACCACGAACGAAAGAGGGGGGGGGGAGGTCAGAACAAAAACCGAAACTTGCAACCCTTACAAAAGTGAAGCTTGTTGCTGTGCAGACTCAGCCTGTTTCCTAATCAAAAAAGTGCAAAACAAGGTTATCTGCTGCAGGAAAATACAGAGATTACATGAGGGCTGTCAGACTGAGGCACGTCTTCCGGGTCAACAACCTTATCTCAGACCTTAAACCTTATCAAGGCGGGCAGTACAAGCACCAAATAAATTTCAAGCATCACCACACCAAGCAAAGAAAATGAAAATGCTTACGGCTAACAAGAAAGCCAGCTATTTGTTAAAATAAACACACCACTTTCAAAGTGATACGATAATAACTCGTGAAGACAATTATATAAACATTTCTGCACCACAGGTGCTCATCCTTGTTCGAGCGAACCATGCAAAAATTAGGTGAATAATAGAAGCAACAAAACGTCAGATATGACACTGATGAAATTATAATCAGGCTATATGTAGTACATACATGTGAACATCCTGAAGAATTGTGGCTTAACGGGCAAGAATAATGGAGATCCGCAAATTTCAGCATACACACGCCACTTTCATAACTATCCCAATCAATACACGACACTGCATGAAATCGCACAAAAACGAAGGCAAGAAAAAAAATTAACTAGGAACACAGCCTCCAAGCTCATAATGATCAAATGAGGCACAGCAGAGCAGGATTAACAAAGGCCCACAAGACATGCGCATGTAAAACACTGCTTACGACAGGGTTTCACACCAGCTAACTACGAGCGCCCCAACACCACACGCTAATGGGATGCGACCTTCTGGTCGCAGGCGGTGCTTCCGTACGTCATGAAGCCTATCTACTACGCTCGCGGAAATTGCAGCACCTCCTCGCCCCCACAGGGGGAAAAAAATGCCTCACGGCAACGCATATGTCAGCCACGCAGTAATAAATCGGCATTACACGCGCACAGTAATGTCCGTGCGTCCACCAGCGCTCGCAATCGCGCGACTTCCCGACACCTGTCAAACGAGAGCACTGCACACACACACACACGCGTCGACAAAAAAAAACCGCACGACAAAATAACCGAAAAGAGGGTTTCGTATACTCACTGCTCTTCTGCGGCGAAGCCGTGACACTTGTTGTTGAGCTTCGTGGCGTTACCGCTACCGTGGGAGAAACCAAGAGCGTTTTCCTCGAAGATTTGCCGAATGCAGTACGTGTATCCATTCAACTGTCCCTGTTTGTATAATTTCGTACTGCGGACAGAAAAACAAGGCAACAATTACTGAATCACGTCAGACACAGCCGCCACGCACCACGAAGGCTACATAAAGCGAGCGAACGGCGCTGAATTTCACATTAATCACTCGCGATTACACATAATTGATACCTACTGTTTACATCGAATGGATGAAGCGAGAGTGGACTGCGGACAGAAAGCGGATATTTTGCAATGGTTTTCGCGCTGAACAATCGCTTGCCCGAAAACGAAGACGTAGCACACACGCTTTCGCAACAAAAACGGAGCAATGTAGGCGCGTCAGGACAAAAACGTTGCAAAGCTAGGACATTTTTGCCGAACACCAGTCGACCGAAGAGCACTAGGCCTAAACATTGCACATTCGCGTCCCTTAGCGAGAGCAGAATTAGGCTTACGCAAAAAAGTGTTTAATCTTACCGTACGAGTACGAGCGCACGCTAACGCTAGGAACATAAATTTTCTACAGCCTAAGAACTCGAGGATTTTGATTTTTTTGAGCGTCTTTCTTAAACGTAAGCTCAAATGATCGCCAAAAAGAGTCACATTTGAAGGTCACTTTCTTAGGGCTAGCTTCACAAAGCATAAACATTGTCAAATGTGCATCCGTTCGGGGAGCCGTGAAAATGTGCGAAAGAATATTTACCCATTTTATTCATTATCAAGCTTCTCGCTATGACGTACGCTTCCTAATCGGAGCCAATTCGGAGAATATATCCAACATCCGTGTGTAAAATCATGGTATGAAGGGAAACCACAACAAATAATATGGCTGCCGTTGCGCTATACAAGTTGATTCATTCAGTTTATCCGTAGCCACCAAAATAGTAGTCAATCACATTGGTCAAACGACTAAAACCATTATTGGAGTAAACTTTAAATTTTATTTTAAATATTATTTTATACATAATATTTTGGTTGAATTTGCTTTGATAAAAATAGTATGAAAAACGTTTTTGGCTTCTTGTGGATTCGTTCGACTAGTGTCTGTGCTTGTGCCGTTGTGTCCCCTTCCCATGTGCGTGCTATGTGCGCGTAATTCCTTCGTTGCTTGTATGTTTTGCATATCGCCGCTGAACTTGCGACTAATTCGGGTGAAAGTAGAGGTAAGCGACTGCGCTTTGACACCTCGAGCTTTTTCTGGCTATTGCGATCTTACGACACTGTTCTTTGGACGAACCGAGGAGCGGCATGCACTCGGAACGTCTGCTAGCGAGTTGCGCTTGAGCTTTTCACCAGTTTCACCTTCGCGTTGTTTCTTTCAGGCACAATGTCGGGGGACAACGTAATGCCCAAGATTGACGTTCAGAAGGAGCTGAGTGGATCGGCGCAGTTAAACTACATGAAGATTATAGAAAGGGAGAACATGGAGCGGGTGCGTAGGTTGAAGCGGATCCGCCACCGAAACCTGATGACGGGGTTTCTCCTTGCCGGAGGAGTGTGTGGCATATGTATCCTTGAATCGCGTGCTTCCTCAATGCGCGCTTTGCTTATAGTTTAGACAAACGCCGTCGCCTTTCTTCCAATTGCATCAGCCAACTATACTGCGCAGTTCTGCCGGCACGTAGTTCTCTAATTTGGCATCGCGACGAATGCCGGGTATTCAAATCTATTTCTTCCTGTCCTGCCTTGTGCACGGCGAAGTAAAAGAAGCACAAAATCCAACGTCGTCGAAACGTCTATATATATATATATATATATATATATATATATATATATATATATATATATATATATATATATATATATATATAATATATATATATATATATATATATATATATGTGTGTGTGTGTGTGTGTGTGTGGTGTGTGTGTGTGTGTGTGTGTGGTGTGTGTGTGTGTGTGTGATTCAAAAAGAAATTCTGTGGGTCCGGTGCAAATATCATTAAGAATGAAGGAGCACACTTACGAAAATTTGATAATTGTTTACTCTACGTTTCGGCGTGGCACGGCCTTCGTCAGGATTAACCGTTAATCCTGACGAAGGCCGTGCCACGGCCGAACGTAGAGTAAACAATTATCAAATTTTCGTAAGTGTGCTCCTTCATTCTTAATTATATATATATATATATATAGATAGATAGATGAAATAGATGATCAGAGTCACTTACATCCTCCGAAGAAGGCTGGTCCACCAGCCGAAACTGTTAGGATTAAATAAATATTTTATTGTTTTGTTTCCTTTTCCGTGTTTTAACACAATATTAATGAGATATAACAGACAGTAATGCAAGGAATGTACAGGGAAGTTATTAAAACCAATGGAATGTAAATTAAGAAGAAAGAAAAGTGGATGAGTTGGTAATTTTTTCATCCACTTTTCTTTCTTCTTATTTACATTCCATTGGTTTTAATAACTTCCCCTGTACATTCCTTGGCATTACTGTCTGTTATATCTCATATATATATATATATATATATATATATATATATATATATATATATATATATATATATACCTTTAATTGACCACGATCATTTGTTCGTCTTATCAGAAGTGCCCCCCAAAATCAAATTCTAACTTGCCAAGTACGCCGTACGCCCAGATATGTGCTTGAGAACGCTGAATGAAGTATACCTAAATGGTAGGGAAAAGAACAAGAAAAATCATTTGTTTGGCTCAGCGTGCTAAAGACTATGCTTTCAAGTAGAGTACTTAGACTAATCTAATTAGTACTTGATTTTATGAGTTCATAATAAATATGCTCATAAATAAATTGCTACCACATTTTAACAACAAAACTGTAGTGTGACCCTATAAAAAGATCAAAAGAAAAAGACAAGCAACATTTTTCTTCAAAGAATGGAAATTCTTCTGGCTGTTTGCCTTCTAAGAGGCTGTTTTACTGGCTTTGCTATCATTTTTAGATATGCCTCCATTGCATACCACTACCTTGCAAAGCCAATATGCACCATGTTGCCAATGAAAGTCTGCAAGCTTTTCTCCGAGGTTCAGATATTTTCTTAATTTCAGCCCGCAGTAACCTTTGCTGACGCATATGCAGCTGAACGTTTTTGTTTATGCTACTATCGATCACAAGTTTCAAGCACACAAAGAAGACATGATGCAGATATATTTATAGTGTGCAAAATGACCTTCCTTTGGGTCAAGCACTTTCATAATGAAAATAGCACATAACAAGTTGCTGCATTCAAGTGGGAACAGATATGATGCGCACAGGCCCTATGCAAAACAACGCAAACTGACCACAACATGTGTTCAGGCACCATTGTGTGACCGCAACAACAATGCATCTGACTCTTCTAATGGGAGTACTAATGCCACATATGTGGTTTCTGTTTCATGTTTATAATGTGCAGGCAATCTTTGTTCCCGTTTACACTTATTTGGCTTTTTCCTTGCATTTTCCCCTCTAACCAAGCTCTTGTGTTCTTCTGTTCTCCACTGTACTCCTGTTGGGAAACTGAAGAACGTGAGGAGAATACAAAAGGATTAATGCTTTTTGTTGCTTTCTTTACTGATAAAGCCGGCCCTTTCTCCACCTTACAGCTAGGGGCGAGGGAGGTACCAGCTTTATGTGCTGACCTTTCTTTTCCACTTATCTCGCTTTTTCCATCCACGTCCCAATTTGCTTTCGATATGCTTTGAGTCTTTGTGCCAGGAAGTTTTTAATTTTGCTTGCTCTTGGTCGCCTGAATGCCCCCACCAACACTATAATGTTCATTTAGCAGAATTCCCATTGTTGTTGGTCGCTGTGAGAGTTGGTCTTAACAGAAGAAGAACGGCTATTTGGGCTAGTTGGTTGAATTTCATGTTAATATGGGTTGCAGCGCAAGTACGAAAGTGCTGAAAAAAAGTGTATTGAAGTTGAGGAACGTAAGGCAAACAGGGCTTGTGTTGTTGGCAAACAGGGCTTTGCCATTCGTTCCTTGCCTTCCATACGCTTTTCTTTTAGCGTTTTCGTGCTTGCGCTGAAACCCCTTTAACAGAAAAGGCCTGTTAAGCAGTTCGTCTCAGCCCCGCCGCGGTGGTCTAGTGGCTAAGGTACTCGGCTGCTGACCCGCAGGTCGCGGGTTCGATTCCCGGCTGCGGCGGCTGCATTTCCGATGGAGGCGGAAATGTTGTAGGCCCGTGTACTCAGATTTGGGTGCACGTTAAAGAACCCCAGGTGGTCGAAATTTCCGGAGCCCTCCACTACGGCGTCTCTCATAATCAAATGGTGGTTTTGGGACGTTAAACCCCACAAATCAATCAATCAAGCAGTTCGTCTTAGGCATATCTTCTTTGCATTACGTCTATGAGAAACCAAACAAACATTCCTGTGTTCGTCTTAAGCAAGAATTCGTCTTACAGGGAGTTCACTGCATATATATATATATATATATATATATATATATATATATATATATATATATATATATATAACTGGCAGGCAGTCAGGCCAACAGAATGGTTACTGAGAAATGGGAAATACAGTCGAGGTAGAGAGAGAGTTCGATAGAGACAAAATTTGCAGGGAGGATAAAATGGAATCCATACACACACGATAAGGTAAACTGGAGATTGTTGCAAGAAGCTGAGAATGTGAAGTGTTGAAGGGGGACTAGTGGTCTTACCTCTGTGCAACATATGTTCGTTTGTATTTATGAGCAATCATCCCCTGAACAGCTACGCATGGCCAACTAGCACAACAGATAGACCTTCATATGCATGTTTAACTTATTTTTTTCTTTTGTGAAATTCATCTCTTGCTGTGTGTGACGCACCTTGACATATCATGCAGTTGCGTACTCTGTGCTCGCCGTGAAGCAGGAGAAATTTCTAGACAACTTCGAAGAGCCTGCTCCAAAGTAGACAAGATGATGTCCAGTGTTTATTTGTGTACAAACTTATCTTTTTCCTCCATGCTCAACATGCGTGGACCTTGTGAAATGTGTTGTTCCTGCAATAAAGCTCATTTAGCCCACGGTTATCTGTAGTAATGCTCTTCTCGAACAAATAAAGACTGCCGAGTACGTAAGATCCACAATTCAATG